TATTTTAGTTATAATCTTCTTTGATTAATAGTTTATACTATTTAATCAGTTCAAATCTTGAATTATATTGATTACTAGTGACTTTACTCAGTCAATCTTTATAATTTCTTTGATTTATTTTATTCTTTCTTTATTTTATTACTCTTTATTAAGACAATATCCATAGATATTGGCACAGGTCTTAGAAATCTTTATCATTATTGAAAGTTATAGTCTAATTCTCCTCTTGTTACCTTTTATTATTTCAATCTCTCTCAACCCTATATCATTAGAGTGAATCAAAGTGAAAACTCACTTATCAATTTGTCATAATAATATTATTTAATAATATTAAAAATTTTTTAAAAAAATTTTTATATTATTAAAAATATTTATATTTTATAATAATATAATAAAATTATTTTACTATTAAAAATTTATAAAAAGAAATACTAAATAAAAAATTTAGTAATTATAATTAAGATTAAAAGTAATAATAATAAATATTTTTATTTATATTTGAACAATAAAAATATTTAAAAATATGAAATTTTGTAAATAAATTTTTTAGAATATTCTGAATAAGATTTACTAATAAAACAAGATATAATAACTTAAGAAAATTATGTAAAATTATGTAAAATTTTATATAAATATGTAAATTAAATAGTTTATATAAAATAATTTTGAATAAAAAATTATTTAAAAATATATTTAATAAGTAATTTTGAAAAAAAATATATTTTAAAATATAAAAAATATATTTATAAGTTAAAAAATTTTTTTCTTACATATTTATTTAATAAATATTAGTTAAAAAAACTTTATTTTAATAATTTTTATAAGAAAAAATAGTAAATATAAAATTTTTATTATATTCTTATGAAAATTATTAAAATAAAATCTTTTTTAACTAATATATATTAAATAAATATATAATAAAACTTTTTATAAACTTATAAAGATATAAATGAAAATATTCATTATCATTACTTTTTTTCTTGACTATAAAATATTAAATATTAATATAAATTTAATAAAAAAAATAATTACTAGTAATAATTTTAGAATCAAGTTAAAAATATTATTTTTTTAATTTTTTTATAAATATTTATTTTTAAATAATTATAAAAAAAAATAAAGAATTTAATTAAATAAAAATTATTACAATATAATAATATATCACAATATTTTTAGTTTCTATAATACAAATTAAAGATAAAATTAAATTAAAATTGGATTATTCAAAACTTCATGAAAGTATAGATGCAGATGTTTAATATAGTCTGATATATGTTATTAGATATTGGGAATGCTAAATAATAATTTAATTTTGATCAGTATAAAGTTCTAATTCGAGTTGGATTTGAGAATAATCTAATCTGAACAGAGCTGGATTTCAATCTGAAATAACTATATTTGATCAGATTGATCAATAATTATGTATATATACTCTTTTATTGAATACATCTAATTTTCTAGTTTAGAAAATAATAAATTTTTGGAAAAAAATGCCAATCAATTATTTGAGAAATTTAATTAAAAACACAATGCTTATCTTTATCTGCTTAATCTTTTTTTATTAGATTTATCTTGATTTTTATTTTTAGAAAATATATTTTTTGCTTATTTTAAAATATTTTGATAATGTCCAAAAGATCTAAACTTACAGGTTTTGAATGTTAATTTATGAAAAGACAAAAAACAATAAGTGAAGTAAGTAAAATATTAAGACACCTAAATTTATAATTGATAATGTAATAAAAGTACAAAAATTCAAGATCAAATTGTTTTAATACCACTTTCTAATAGATCTGTAACATCAAATATTCAAGCAAAATATATATAAACAAGTTAATATATAACTTATTAATAAAAAATAATATAGAAAATATAAATATATCATTAAATAAAACAGATTTTGCTGATTCTAATTATATAAATTTTATTTAAAGTTAATATGTAAATTCTCTCAAAAATATCAGTTAAATTTAATAAACATAAAAGTAATCAATTTAATTTACAGAATTCTTAATAAAGTAATATTTATAAAAAATATATATTCTGAAAGCTTGGCTTTTAGGATTCTGATAAAAAAAATAATATAAAATTTAAATAATTGATTATGAATAAATAGTATTTAATTATTCATATCAATTTTCAATAATTTTGAATTATTATATATATAAATTGATTTATTATAACTTGTTGATGAAAAGAAATACAGAAAATACAAATATAATATTAAATAGAACAGGTTTTATTGATTTTAATAATATAAATTTTATATAAAGTTATTAGATAATTCTTTAAAAATCTGTTAAAGATAAGTTTTGAATTATCAATTCAATTTTGTATTTAATTTGTATTTCTGAAACTAAAAGTATTGATAAATTTATATTTAATATATTTTATATAGTAAAATGAATTATTTTTACTCAATTATCAATATTAACAAAAGCATATTAAGTTTAGGCTAGATTAATTAATTTACAATCAAAGATGTACTTTAAAAGTTATAAAAGTCTCTTATGATAACTTTATATATAAATTAATCTTTGATAACAGAAGCCAAAATAATAAAAAATAGATTTTGAAGAGATTTCTAATAATTAATAACAAAAAACTAAATAATAAAATCTATTAACATGATCTGATAAAAATAATTCAAATAATTTAGCTAACCAAAAAACAAAAGTAAAGACTAACTTAATTTTTATCAATAAAATAATATAGATTTATATAGTTTATTTATATATATATTAAAGATCTTCACTACTTATACAGAAGACAAGCATTAAAGTTAATTAATAAAAATAAATAATAAATAAGTTTATAAAAGTTATTTTATTTTAACACAAAAAAGAATAAGAAATAAAATATAGAAAAAAATTAATTCTTACTTCAAAAAAATAATATTTATGAAATTTAACTTAAAAGTAATTTTATTGTAAAAATTAAATAAGAAGTGGATTTATTATATCTATTATAATCTGAATATTTCAATCACTACTTGATTATATATAGTCTTAAGAAATACTTTTTTGTCTAAGAATAAATTTGTAATTTTTTAACTTTATTTTTTTTCAAAAAATAGAAAAATAAAAAAATATTATATAAGTAGAAATAGTAAAAATATATAAGAGACTAAAAAGTTTTGCATATAGATATTTATTTTCAGAACTATTATAATAATTATCAATATAACTATTTTATTTCTTTAAAGTACTTTTTATTAAATGCTATATAATATTCTAGTTAATTTTATTAATTCTAAAAAGAGTTCTTATAGTTTTCTTTTGGAATATCTTTAATAATTATCTAAATAATTCTTGTCAAATTTTTGAACTAATCAAATCTCTTTCTCTTTAGTTCTTTTTTTATTCAAGAAAATCATAAGAAGCAAGATTTGAATTAGAAAAGAAGTTTTATTTACTCATTATGAAGATATTTTATTATAATTCTTGTTTTATATACTATAATATTATCATAATAAAATATAATATTACAAATAGTTATTCTGCTCTTTTTTTATAAAATTTGAAAAAACTTTAGTAATATCTTATTGACATAAAGATTAGTATTAATTATTTGTTCTTTTGAAATTATAAATTATATAATGACTCTATATATAGAAAAAAATATGTAAAATGTTCTTTTTTGAATTTTAAGTCATTTTTACTATTTATAATCTATTCTTATTCTTTTCTAGCAAAGAAATATATTTATATTTCATCACTATTAACAATATTTTGTATTATTCATCTAAAATTTTTAATAGTTGCTTGGAAATTTCAACATGATTTTATTTATATTCCTATGAGAAATCTATTTTATACAGAGTTTGTGGAGACTCAGCTCTTCATGCAAAATATAAGAAATTCTTTCATGGAAAATACCAACTTTATTAACTAATTCTTTAATAGAAATATATGGATTATTGCTAACAAGATCCTCAACCCTGGCAATTTTTTCTGATATCACTGCTTCATGAGGACATTCAGAATGGGTCTTGTCTTTAATTTCTTCTTTCCCATCTTTGAATGTAGCAATCCAGCATTTAATTGTACTAATAGACAGTGCTTGTTTCTCTTCTACATTCACCAATTCTTCATGGATTTGAGTTGCATTTCTGCTATTTTTCCAAGAAGTGAAAATAAAGTATTGTTGGTTTTCATGGCTCATTTTCTTCCAGTTGTTTTACTATGCTTGACAAAAAAATTGGTTTCTTGACAATGAGATAATGAATTTGCTTCTATTTTTTTTTTATTTGTTACATGAAAGCATGCGCATTTGATGATTATTTCCAATTTTAGTTAAACTGATGCAATTTCGAGTTAGAGCCACACGCAAAACTTTTCAGCCTCACGTAATAAATTATTCTTTAGATTAAAAAATTCTCATGACAAAAAATTTATACTATAAATATATATGTAGATTGTACCAATATGATAAAAAAGTACTTTTGATAGTGAATACATGAGATTATAGTTTTTATATTGCTCTATTAGGAACGTTCTTCCTTAGATAATTATAATTAATATTGTAACGTAATAATATTTTTTTAATGTTCTTACATTAATTATCTGATATACATATTCTTTTTCTCTTTGCGAAAATACCTAATAAATTCTTAGTTTGTACTTTAATGACTCGCAAAAGCCGTAATTAACGAATTGTACTTTAGATAGTTGTGTAATAATGAAACTGTATATATATATATATATATGATATCTCACGAAGGTCTGAGAGACAGGCAATGGATGGTTTGAAGAAAAATGAATCAAATTATTTTTTTTCCTAACTACATCTCAGCTTTATTTCTCTTGAGTCTAGCTCTAATTCTTTTTGTGCTTAACAAATCGAAGGCTTTACTGCTTTGGTCATATAAAGCTGCTGAATTGCGTTTGTTTCGACGTTTCGTTTCTCCCATTCGTATTGTGTTTGTAATTATTATGTTGATTCATAATATATTTAAGATTTAGAATATTTGTTATTAGATTTTTGATTAGTATACATAGTTATTTGTTAATTTGAGTTAAAATTATAATTTGTTAGTGAAATAGAAATTACTTTGTTAATTTGGATTGGTTATTATTACAAAGTTCATACCTTAGCATAGATCATTCAGTCTTCGCTCTCGACCCTTGTCACATCTTTAATTCGTTAGTTATCCTAACTTTCGAATTGACTGTGAAAATATATTTACGGAATCACCATCTTTTGCATAAGTCATCACTATTGAATATTCATTTGTAACGGGGGGGTTTAGTTGATCCAATTTATTAATATAATAATCATCAAGTGCATTTACAGTAAGAGCAAATTGAATCTTTAGAAAAAATCAAGTTAAATAAATTATTCAAAGAAAATTAAATAAAAATATAAATAAAATTATTGATTACTTACTAACCGATAAAAGATAGAATAATAGAATAGTTAAATAAACCTTTACTTCAGAAAATGTTCATTTTTGCCTCGTGCATAAACACTTGAGTAATTTGGTTTGAATTGTGTAGTAATTTCAATCCAACTTTCCATTCTCTACCTCGTTTAAATTTTATTTTCTTCATGATCCCAATAATCAGTTAATGGACCATCTCACCAGGTTGCTTTATAAATTGTCCCAGACCTCCTTTTGCATGATATTTAATGGTCATAAATCTATCCATTCGAGCAATTCTTTGCCAATTATTAATTATGTTGTATTTTTTTATTAGATTATTGATATCTTTATCTTCGGTAGATAACTCATCGTAATAAATTTGTTTGTGATATTCGAAACAGCTATAGCACCACTCATTCAGTACATTGTGAACTATACAGTCATCGCAGTACTATTCTCTGCAACAATTGGTATATTCATTACAACGATGAGTATTGATTCCATTTTGAGTTCATCACCTTATAAAATGCGAATTGCTTGATAATAAACATCACTTTATTTATCTTTTACCACTTCGTCAACACTATGATTTCGTTAGGTTAAAAAATGGTGTCCATCTATACGCAGTTTAAAGAAATTGAAAAGGGGAAGATTTTGACGTACATGGACACCACAAATACCGCTCAAATCACAAAAATACTCGGACGCGACCCTACAAACGGTACGCCGCTTTCTAAACAAATATAAACGAACCGGAAAAGTGAAAACTTACCACGCTCAGGAAGATCACCAGCCTTAAACAATCATGAAAAGGATTTACTTATACGTGAAGCTAGCGAAAAACGACATGCATCACTACGCGAAATAGTCAATAATTTAGGCCTCACTTGTAGTTTATCATCCGTCGCAAACGTATTGCACAACTCCGGACTTAACTCACGTATCGCAGCAAAGAAACCCTATATCTCAGAAACACATGCATATGTTCATATTAAATGGTGTGAAGAAAATAAAAATAAATCAGCTTATGATTGGTCGAAAGTAATTTTCTCTGATGAAACCAGTTTGGAAATTTGGAAGCACTCACGGCAGCTAAGAGTTTGGCGGCATCCTGGAGAAAAGTTTAACGTTAATTGTTTGGCGTCTACCTTTAAAAGTGGATCAAAATCTGTAATGGTTTGGAGATATTTCGCGGAAGGACCATTAATTTTTTGTGATAGATATAAAAAAATGGCGAAAAAATAATTGCAAATACTTACCTCAAAATCTCAAAAACTCAATTACTTCCATTCCAGAACGCAACTAGGGAATTGACTGGAAGTTACGCAATCTTTCAACATGATAATGCGCCGATACATACTAAGGAAAATCAAGTGAAAATAAAATCGTGATTATTAATTGGCCAGCAAATTCCCAGACCTGAATCCAATAGAGAACATTTGAAAGATATTAAAGGACCATATTCAAAAAAATGAGAAACTTTCCGACGACTGTGGACGAACTTAAGATTGCATTGAAGATGGAGTGGGAAAAACTTGATGTAGTTCATTTTAGAATGGGTTACTGCATCAATGCCACGAAGAATTAATGCATTATTGGATTCAAATTAAATATTAAATAAATTTTATTTTTTATTTTGTATATAAATTGACGAAAATCAAATAAATTGAAAATAATCTAAATTTTTATTTTTAATTTTGCTACTTTCTGTGGGTACTGTACATGTACAAAGTTACGTATGTATCGGGTTTATACCCTGTATGGTACGGATAAAATAATGAAGTATGACTGTGCCACTAATAAGAACATCTTTTCATGACTTGAACCATTGGTAAGAAATAGTTGTGCGTTTATAAAATGAATTTTAATATCTTTTGTTTTAGTGTTTCATCCTCAATTTGTCGCGTTTCTTATAGAATGTTTTGATGTGGCGTACTAATATTGAATTTATTTTGCACATCAGAGAAAGGATAATAAGAAATGCAATTTTATCTTCCGAATATGCAAAACTGCATTTTTAGATTCAGTATCAATAGTGATGAGCTCGCACAGTGCGCGTGAAAAAAATTTTTTATTCATACAATCATACATTTAAATAACATTTATTTACGGTAAGCTGTATCAAGTCACAAGAAAGAATACTCTGCTAAATAATTGAGATAGTCGACATAGTTAAAACAAAATATAACTCTATATATAAATATAATTTATTATGCTATTAGAGTCCGTAATTAACACTTTAAAAGCGCAATATCATATAACTGTTTTATATTTTTGAACAAGCTTATTATCATGTATTTTAATAAGTATAAATTAAAAACAATTAGTTTCTTGAGAGCAAACGCTCAAATCAATGATCACATAGCAAAAAAAAAACCATTATTAATATTTCAAAAATTCTTTGTGTCAATTAAATATTTTGAAAATACTGATTAATTCTTCAATTAATGCTAGTTTTGATTACATGGTAATTATCCACTTCGCTATAGAACATTTTTGCATACATGTATCATCCAATTTGAGTTTCCCAGTTACATAATTAAAATATGCTTTTAACTTCACGCCTCTATAGTCACCTAATTTTCCCAAGAGCGGTGACTGTAGAGAAGTTCGAACACTTTACAAATATGAAAATTATAAAATAAAAGTTCATTTCAAAATACTTTAACAGGTTTTCATTAATAGTTTATGTTGCTACAATTGAAAATAAAGTTATTGCACAATTTGAAATACTTCATAATCTTCAATTTCAAACTGAAATAAAAAGCTCATTGATTCATTATATTCTCGATCGCTTGAATTCCATTCCAATGGATTATATCCATCAATTATTTTTCCTGAATCTTTAACCCGAATGGCAACAACTGTTGGGCCTTTGTTATCACAAAGTCCCTGAAAATCAGCTGCAGATAATCCATCTTGACTACCTCGTAACAATAGCTTTAAATCAAATGAATTCATTTTTGTATCTTGCGATTTTATCCATTCCCTTATTTTTTAAATTGATTTCGGGTAATTTTCATAGATCTACCGGAATTATCACTGAATTTTCGAATGAGGTGTTTGTTAGCTTGAAAATTTTCATTTCAGGAACAAAGTAATAATGCAACAAATCTTTGTATGATAAGAATTCCGCATAGGTCATTACTTTATTGTAAAATTAACAGAGTTTATATGAAAGAAATAATCAACGGCAAACATTGTTTAAGTGTGAATTTTAATTGTGTAAATTCGTTTTGTGTCCATTTCTCTACCGGGATCGAAAATAAACATTCTCAGAATTAGAGACTTGAGCAGTTCCCCATTCTCCCAAATATCGATTTCTTTGAAGATTCAAATCATCAAGTCTGAGCAAAGAAACTAGTGCAGTCTCTTGCAGTTTTGTAAAATCATTCGAATAAAAAATATCTGCAGGATTTTCACATGCAATATCTGTGCAGAATTTGTGAAGTTTCGTGAAAGAGTTGTGCTCGAACACGATTTGATTAATTAAGGCAAACTTTTCAGTCATAGAATTGATATGGTGCTCTAAAAGAAAGTCTTGAATGTATTCAATTAGGTTATCAAGAATCAACTGATCTACAGCAATCATCAAGTCTGGCACTCCATGTTCAAGTCAATTTTGCCGCAATACATGTATCTAACACATCATAAAATAAATTTAATATTATTTGTTTGTCTCATATATTAAACCTTAATAAGATTTCAAATACACGTGATGAGATATTTGGTTCTTAAAAAACGATCATTTTATATGGTTCTCGCTTCACCTACGCATCAGAAAGTGCTATAGCAAAATATTGGGACTGCCATTAAAATTAGCGAATGTGCGATAAAGATACGCTGTGCATTTCCATCACCAGCAATTACTGAAATATCGCAAATTTGCCCTATTCAGCCAATTTATTTGAATGTGAAGTCCATAGTGAGTCGGTAGTCATTTTAGTCATTTTATCTTGATTTTTATCAACGTTAGTGTTTCATATTACATGTACACGCTGTAGCAGGTCCAAATCCTTGATCATTGCTCTTTTTAATTCAATAATTTTCTAATGAGCATCAAAAAATAAAATTTAATGAAATTTATAATATATTCAATTAATCAACATTTATGTTGTATTTACAACATTAATTAAGTACGCTTTTAATTACCAAATCTCGTTCTCAAAAGGACTAAACGTTTCACTATTATAAAACAAAGGATTCGCATCGTCAACATTGAATTCATATTCTTTATACGTTTTTGTTCCCCTTGTTGTATAAAATAATTGACTAAATGGAAAGATAAAAGATTTCGAAATGGGTCTTTTAATAAAAATCTCCCTAAACGGAGAATACATTATTTTTGAGAGAATCAGAAAGGAATCATTCAATAATTTTGCAGTTATTTGTATTCATATATATAAAAAAATCCACAAGATCAATTACAATTTATTTTAAAAAACGTCATAAAATTCATAATATGTAATAAGGCGCTAATTTATTAGGTGATGATGAATATTTGTTTTGGCGAGGAAAAATTTTGATTGACGATAATTATATTATAGAATGACACTAATATCGGTTTGAAAAATTTTTTATATTATTTTGAGGTCCACAGTATTGCTAGAGACATAAGTTTAATATCTGCCATTTGACTCTATAAAGCCGAAAGACATGTCAAATAATATAGTTCAGATTTTTAACTAGCACTGAATAAGTAATCGCTCGCGTACAAGGAGGTTTCTTGCAGACCGGTTACATACATACAAGACGATGCTTTTCATAGGTACCTCTCACATTAACGCTCTCCTACGCAGCTAACTTTTCTCACTTTGTAGAAAAATCTCGCAAAGATTTGACAAAATATATATCGTGTGAACATTACATCAGCTTATAGTCTCCTACCATTTTTTTGAAAATTACAAAGTCTCACGATTCACACTTTCAAGATCTGTGATCGGAAAAACTATGTATCTGATTTTACAGTCTGCACCGAATATAGTAAAAGAGAATTTTTGAGAAGGTAATTATTAGGATACCCTTATATCAAATTGCATTCAAATTTGCATTGTTGCGGTGAGAGAACATGATAATGCAGATATTTTGAGGATGTAAAGCATGTCTATAAGCATTCTAAAAATAAATTTACGATGTTTGTTATATAATTTTTGTTTTATTTCAATAAAAACTGTCACCGTTACAATGAAGACCTTTTGCAACATGTCAACTCTTGTTATAAACAGTGACTCTCTTTATATTATATCAAAAAAAAGCTATTAGTAATAATTTTCAAAAATACGGTTTTTGAAAATTTAATTTGATCTGATTAATAATAAAGAGCATTACGTAGATACTAATAAGGAAGAGGCACGTGTAATTTTAAAGCTTTAATATCATCTTTTGGAGATGATAGATTTAATTTTAGCTCCAAAATTACATGTGCAATAATAAATCTAATTACTGTGATATGGTTTGCTTAAAGAGTATGTTTTTCTTATGATGAAATTATGAAATATTTCAGATATACACTTACAATATTATATATTTAATTTGATTTTTTCATTTGCGTGTTAATCATAACTCTTGTTATTTAATATCTTAAATTATAAAACTTTCCAAAATTCTCATGGAAAAATGAATTATTTTACAAATATACACTTCCTAATCAAAAGTATCCAATCATCTGATTTATGATTACAAGAATTTCTCTAATATTTTGTTCAGTATGGCCTTTTTTTCAGAGATTTATAATCTCTTCTCATTTAAACTCAGTAAGTTCACACATTTTGGATATTGTAAAAGAAAAACTATTTTTATTTTCAGATAGCTGAAGACAAGAACTGCATGAAAAAAATATTTTATTTATTTATGCTTAATAATTTTAAATAAATCTTATTTTAATAGATTATAATCTGAATATTCTAAATTATTATCCATGATACTATATAAAATACAAAAATTCAGAAAATATTATAGATGTTCTATATTCAGGAAGATTATTAAAACTCACAGTAAAAGAGATTAGAATTCTTGTGAAATTAGTTAAGAAAGATCAATTTAGTAAGTTTTTATTAATTTTAGTATCTTCTAGTATTATAAAGTATATATAAATATTATAAATAAGCTAAAAAGAAAAAATTATTTATTTCTGAAAAAAAAATTAAAATGATATTGTGAAGAAGAGATTGAAATTATAAGTAAAACTTCATTATTTGAAGTAATAAATCTCATTTTATATTATTTTAAAATAATATATATTACTGGATTTGATATAGATCACATGAAAAATATAATATAAATTGCTTAATTTAATTGTAAAATCTAGAAATCAAGAAATTATATCATGAAAATATTTTATAAAGAATAAAATTAGTTTGTTAGTTCAAGTTTTAGATAGTATAACAGATTTTATTTATATAGAAATATTAGAATATACTTTTTATTCTTTTATAATAATTTAAAAACATCTTATAATATATTTTTCAAGATGATAATATTCTAGTATATAGAGCAAAAATAAGTAATTAATAAAAAAGAATAAATTAAATATTAAATTTTTTATAATTTATACAGGATTCAAATCTTAATTTAATTAAATATCTATAAAATATTTTGAAAAAAGAGTTAAAAAATATAAATCTTATTAAAAAAAAACATTATAAAATTAATAATAGTTTTAAAGAAAAAGTAAAATAAATTAAGCTTGAAGTTTCAATAAATTTAGTTAATAATTTGTCAAGAAGAATTCAAACTATATTAGATAGTCATGAAAATTCAACTAGATATTAATAAAATTTATGTTTTTCTAAATAAAATAATATAAATTTTTTATAATATTTATTTATAAATTATTAAAAAATTAATTATTAAAGTTTATATATTTTTATTTAGTTTAAATAATCAGATATTTTTGAATAGAAGATATATATAATATATATATCTTATGTTTATCTCTTGATAGATAAATTTATCTGTCAAAATTTTTTATATATATAGAAATATTATAAACAAAAATTTAACTTTTTAATTTATATTTTAAATAAAAATAATAACTGAAATTCTGTTAATTTTGAAATATTATATAATAAAAGAGCTTTTATTTAATAAAATAAGAAAAATTTAAATTTCAAGCAAATTTACCTGTCTTATAAAACAAGAGATAAGTTTTGTTATTTAATTTCATGCTTTGTTTATATTTAAATTAAAATTTTCATTCTGTTATTATACTATATTTATATTTTATATATACTGTAGTATATAGAGAAGACTGTAATAATTACTCAGTAATTTGAAAAAACCAAAAAAAATATTACAGATAAAAATATTTATATATCAAAAACCAGAATTTTTACCTTAATAAATTAGAAAACACTTAAATATATTATTATTAGTTGAAATATAAGATATAATATCTTGTTATTTTTAAATTATTTTCATCTAATACAAAAGAATTTATTCTTTGTTTCATATAATATATATGAATTTAATATAAATAATAATTTGATCTCCAAATAAGATTAGTATTGTAAGTCGATATAGCATTAGTTGACTTAGTCAGCTAAATTGACTAAGTTGATTAATTTTTCAAAAATCAACTTAATCAACTCTTTCAAATATAGTAATATTACAAATGCTTGACCATAAATAATTTCCTAAAAAGTCATAATACATACATACTTGTAACACATATTTGAAGATGTATTTGATGATACGCGTATTTCTTATAATGCAATCAACTAAAGGTAAGCAGAAACAAAATACTTTTATTTTTATAAAGATGATACAAGCACTTGGAATAAAGAAAATAATTTTTCATCTGATGACACATCTGAAAAAAGTACTATAATTGATGAAAACTTTGAATTTACAATTTAGAATCAAATAAAGAAAATGAAACAATCTAATCATTATCACCTTCTCTTCAAATACCATCTTTTTTTAATCCATTATCATCAACTCTTTCTTCATCTGTCTCTACATTCAAAAGAAAATCTAAATCCAAGACACTTAGTAATATGAGAGCCAAATCTAGTAAAAGCTGGATATGGAAGAAGAATTAGAAAGTGTACTACAATATTCAAACCTCAACATCAACTACAAGTATAGTATCACATTTACGTACCAAACATCGAATTTTTAAAGATTAATGATGGTCATAATCAACTATACCTCCTACTGAAATTTCTTTAAGTATTGATCCTGCAAAACTATAAATGCAATTGATACAGTGTTTGAACAACAAGCAAATAATATCCAACTTTTTTCCAAAAAAAAAACTCAATCAATTTACCGTTTAATAGCCTGGTTGGTAGAAGCAATGATACCTTTAGATTGTATCAATCATGACCACTTTCAAGATAAACTCAATTCATGATTCAAAGTTCCATGTTCTAATATTGTCAAGAACAAGATCATGGACTCAGTATTTTTTTACAAGATCAATACTTAAAGAAAAGATACAACAGACCATGGTTTTAACATGCATTATAACAGATCTGTGGACTCAAAATCATACACCATATATTGGCATTAGCTTGCAGATTTTACAATGCATCAAGCACTGGTTACAATTGAATAATTTGCATATCCTCATACAGGTGATCGTATTGAAGATTGTTTGCGTAGAATTTTGAAGAATGGAATATATCAGAAAAAGTAATCGCAGTTGCAACAGACAACGCATCATCAATTGTCAAAGCAATCAAATTGTTCATCTTGGTTGTATAGTACATTCAATTCATCTTGCAAATACTAGCAATTTGACAGAAAATGACACTCTAGTAAACAGTGCAAAATCAATGAACAATTTTTTGGTCAATCATGACAAATATCGATCACGTTTTCGAAAAATTCAAAGTGAAGCATTGGCTACTATCTCGTCAGATCAGGCTAGTAGTCTATTGGAACCTATATCAAGTGATACTGCTAATCAATGGAATTCTACATACTTATTTCTTCAATGACTTCTCAATTTCATAATGCAATCTTAGCTCTGGCTGACAATTTGGTAAAAGATCCTGACAGAGTAGTTTGTAAAGATGGCTATGAACTAAAGGCAAAAATTATATCAGACGAAGATTGGGAAGGATTAGAAGAATTATGTGATTTGCTGAATCCCTTTGCGCGTGCATCTGTATATATTAGTGGTAATCAACATCCAATATTGAGTAGGATATATCCAATTATACACCATCTTACAAACATATTGACCAAATAGAAAATCGGCTTACACATTCTTCAGTTTTCCGAACACATCAATTTCTCCGAAAATCAATGTTAACTCGCTGGAAAGATCCGAAGATGTTTGGATGGCTTGCAATAACCTTGGACTCTCGTTTTAAGTCATTGACTGCAGCATCATCTAGTATGCAGGATCAAGTAATACATGAATTACGTAAAAGAATCAACTCTTCAATAAAATTACAAAATAACAACCTTAACAGATCCAGCACATTCAACAACTACATTAGATATGGCAACATTTTTTGATGACGAGGCAGAAACTTCTTCACCAGTTGATGTGGAGCTGCAAATCTATTTTTCTATTCCACAAATTCCCAAAGTATGAGCTTACATGTATAGTGAAGTGATCGTTTTTATATTGTTCTTCAACAAGTGTTAGATTAGATCAGTTAGATAATATTATTGATTTGTTTCGAGATAGCAAAAAATGCATTTTAAACATCAAACTGGGAATAAAATGATGATTAGCTAATATCGATATGATGTTCTCTATGGTTATAATGTAAATTTTATGTAACCGAAAATAAGCACCATCCCTTTCAATCAAAAAGTAACTAATATGGAATAAATACCATATTTACCATATTCACCCTAATCTTGGTTAGCATGATCAGGAGTAATCTATTAGTAATCATTATTAGAAAACTTTTCGCGAGTAAGCACCATTTCATTTTAGGAGATCTAAACGTATCATTCAATGGTAACGTAAATATCATATGGAATACCATTGGTAGGCCTTTTATAGCAGGGACATTCTATACATGTGGAGTACGGTGATAACTATTTCTATTTATACAACAGAGCTCTCGCATCGCATGAACATGTATATTGATTAATTACTTGGATAAGTATTAAAACATTACATGAATTAAATGTAAAGATAACATAACAAGACGAGATTTTTTGCACACGAACAGATTGAGTTTCATTCAAAATTTTCACTTGCATAACTCGTCATCATTACGCCAGACAAGCCGTACAACTAACAATACGAACTCAGATTCAAAAATTTTGTTTGCTAATCTCGATTATAATAAACTCCAATTTTGGACCTTGTGATAAACAAGGTTAGCATGCGATTTTAGAATATTTATAAAATAATAAGAATTTTGTAAGGTTTTTATGATAAATAATAACATTATTATAAATCTACTGTGGCGCTAACGTGGCGTATTATCTGCACGGCTACATAAGGAAAAACCGTGTGTCGGGAATACATGTACAAATAAAGGAATTGAACAATGATGTACAAATGACATCACAGCGCCACACACAAAAATGAAACTAATTCGAAACGTTTTATTAAATAACTTCAAACCCGAAACTTTATTTGATATTGTTGAGTTTCGGAAAAGCTTTGATAAGTTAAATCAAAGAGGTTAATTAATATAATCACCAAGTGGCCGAACTAAAATTTTTTCAAAATAATTTAGTCAAGCATCTTAAATGACAAAAATTTGTTTGATTGGAAAAACTAAAAGTATATATGTTCCTCCCTAATTAAGTTAATTGCATAAATCTAAGACATAATAAATTTACATGTATTTCGTTTTGAATGTTAACAGGTATAAAAATGACTATGTTATTTATTTCTCAGTTATACCGCATGCAATACCCAAAAGAAAAATTGTATTGTTATTGTGAGGCTTTTACCTGATCTGATGTAAAAGAAATAGACGAAGCGGTCACACAATACCAAGTATAAAACATTAGATTAAAACACACCTTTTTTCCCTATACGTATGCTTTAATTTGGTATCTTTTCTTTTGTGTGGTGGAGAAGTAAGCAAATTTACATTTTAGGGTTCAAGGAGAATGAAAGATTTATAAGAAAAGTAAACCAATTCATGAATAAAGGACATATGAGAATAACATCAAAACAAGGTATAACATTATTAAGGATACATCAAAATTTAATTAGAATTTATCAGATACGATATGGTTAACGGCAACATGGAAATTAAAAATTTGATAACACAGAGTAAAAATTGTCAATGGAGATTGGTTACTAAATCAGCGTTAGAGTTTCCTTAATTACATGCATTCTATTATCATTGCCTTTCAATTGTACATTAATTTAGTCATACATGTATTTGGATAACAAGATAAAAATGTAGCAACGGCAGACGAAAAAAGTGACGTCACGTGATCCAGTCTGGCTACATGTTATTAAATACCCGATTCATATTAAAACCAAAAGTTGCGGATTTGTTTTGCCAGACTGATCAAAAATTTCTAAAAAAATATGGCTGGTTTTACCGTTAACATTAAAGTTTCTAACTTCGTCCGAAAATCTATACTCTCCTTGTTTGCCCGCTTCATGAAAGAAAGAATTTTTTGCTTCAACTGGCCGGCTTAAACATGTGAATTTCCTAATTTAAAATTTTTTATTTATTTACGTTCCGGTTCTTTGACCAATCAAACCATGTATTGCAAAAATCAAAGCAAAAGCTCATTTTTGAAAAATAGATTATACACCGTATCTCAAAATTTTACCTGAATATCCTAATAAAATACATAAATCATACTATCCTAAGTTAATATTTCATATCTTGCGATTTGATTGGCAATCGTCATTGTCGAAAATAGGGTGATCCAGGTTTCCCGGAACATTTAGATACATTATCCATTTCTATAGATCATAAAACGCGAAAAAACGCGTGAAAGTAACATACGATTTTGCCAAATTTAGAACTTTTAAAGATCGACATGCGCCGCATTGAAAAAGTCACTCAGTGAGTCGACTATGCGCCGGGCCCATCCATTCACATTTGGCACATAATTTTCATGATTCAAAAAAGTTTTTACTAATACATGTCAAGAACTTATTTCCAATATTTCTATTGATTATATGTCAGTAATAACAGCTGACGACTATATAAAATTTTTTTTATAAAAGAATATATAATTAATATATATGATTTAATAATATATAATTAGATCATCCGATCACCATTTCACTTAATACTTGTAAACATTTGATACATTGTTTTGACCATTCTGTTCTAAATAGAACAGTCTTTGTATAGCTTTTAGCCCATTACTCCAAACATAGACTAAAACATGTATCCGAAAATCAATGCACATTATATAAAGTCATGTTCTTGAGCTATAATCAAAACCAGTGTTTCGTTATTTGATTCTCCTTGTAGAATAGTCTAAATTTTTTAAGAAATCTCGATCGATATTCCGTCTCGTGACTTTCTCGTCGACTCAAAAGAACTCCATTGTTAAAAAATACATATAATCCTTTTACCCGTAGTATGATCCACTTTACATCCTCTCTCATATTATATCGATATAAACACTCATCTTTAACATCAAAAAATACTTAATTACTGGCACAATTAGCTAGAAATCCATAGGTCGTTAAAAAAATCACATGATTCAGGCTTGTTGAACGTGTTACATGCGCATGTACATTGTACATGTATAATGATAGTTACATGTATGTACATGAATGAACGCAGTTTTGATTACGATTACGCATTTTATCGGTAAATTCCGTTTTAAAATGAAGAGTTCATACAACAATATCATCCTATATCAATTATTGATTTTGAACAGCAAATGATAAATAAATATTTATAAGTTAGTAAAAATTGCGAACATAAAGTACGTATTTAAGAAAAATGGAAATCAACTCGAAGTTTCATTTAATTCCAACTGAAATACGACAAGAAATATTTGAAAATTTAGACAAAGAATATTTATTCCAATGTTTAATGGTCAATCGACAATGGTGCCGTGATATAGTAACGATTCTTTGGAGATCGCCATTACAAGATTATAAGTCATCATGCGAAGTAAAAAGGATTATAAGCGTTTATGTTGGGATTTTCTCAAAGGAAACATGGGATTATCTTCGCATGAATGGAGTTAGTCGCCCACGTAATGTCAGTACTCCTATTTTCAACTATGCGTCGTTTTTAGAACATTATGAACCGCATTCATTATTATTGGGAGCGGGAATATGGTTAAAACAAAGAGCTTATAATCCAACTCAAAATCAATTAAAGAAACGTAAAGCATTGGCCAGTTGTTTATACAGACTTTTTTTTCTTGAATCACGATCTATACGATCCTTCTATTATGATTTCAACGAAGACGAGGATTTTTGGAACTCAATTCCCAGAGAATGTTCGACTAAATTGCTCTTAAGGAATCTAAAAGAATTAAGGATTACTGGATTTTCTAATCAACAAACCTTTTTTGAAAATTTGGCTCAAGTTTGCCATTCTATTCGCGGCATTTCAATCTCGAGCTCTCGTTCGAGCCACATAGAAAATGATAATATGGCAAAAACAATCAGAAATGCAATTAAGGCACAAAACGAGCTGCAATGGCTTCAATTAAGAAATTTATCCAATACAAATGTCAAACTTATCTGCAGCACTCTTTATTCGGCATCAAAAACCTTACGAGCAATCCGATTTGATAACATTAACTTTAATAGCTTAAGAACTGAAACCGTAATCGAAGGAATGAGTCCTTGTGTTAATCTTCTTTGTCTGGAGTTTTCAAATTGCACAGGGATAGATCAACAATCTTGGATCGAAACTGCGAAATATCTGAAGAGATTAGAATGTTTAACAATCAGAAATTCATGGTTAATACCACTTGATTTTGTAAAGCAAGTAGTTATAACTAGTGGCGAGAATCTTCAATATCTCAGACTTGAAAGTTCGTTTCATCGTACGATCGCTAATAATTCTATCAACATTGAGCTTCTTTCGACACTTTCTCAACATTCACATAATTTCCGTGCAATCAGTTTGACAGGATTGGATGTTGTGAGTGCTATCTTGTTAATAAAATTGTGTCCAGAACTCGAACATCTGGATATTTATACAGCAAATTTACAAATGACATTTAACAATTTGATTGGAAAACTTTCAGCTTCAGTCAATTCTATTGGAATCCATCTTACATCATCTAGTCATAATACCGCTTTATCCGAAGTATCTTTTGACAGATTTTTGCACGCTAGTCAATCCCATTTGAGGTTTCTTTCTATCAATCCATTTGAATTTAAGAATTTTCATAAAGAAATGGCCTCTAACTGCGGTCTTAAATTAAGTGGTTTACCTGAGCAAGACAGTGTGTATTTT